CCCAAAACATACAGATATCTACCTAGTACTTTTTATGGCTTAAAGGTCTTTAGGATATACAATTTAGTTAAAAATAAAAAACAGAGGGCACAATTAATACTATTTTGTGGATGTACTGGATATTTTTGGTTGATTCCAGGAATTTTCCATTTAAAAAATGCAGCAGCAATGACTATAATCATACTAGTGTCTTAGAATACTTTTGTTTCTCTCTTAAAAATTTTAATATTTCAGATGTGTTCATATTTCAACATTTTATCAGAATCACCATATTATGTCATTGTTACTATGTTTTTGAAAAGTACTGCACATTAAACAAATAAATAAATATTCTCAGTGTTAGCTTGCTACCTTATATACTTAGCCCATTGGTGGGAGGGAGGTATTATTTGTTAAAATTAGTACCTAAGGATTTTCAAAGATCAGTAGGATGATTATTAGGGAGAAAAAAATGTTTTGTTTTGTTTTGCTTTAGCTCCAGACTTATTATAAGTGATATTATTATATAAGCAAAATTTTAAATGAATTTCCTGAAAAAGAAAGAAATGTTTTCCTTATTACTCTGACTTTTTAAAAAATTCACGAATTGGTTAACTTCTCAAGTGTAAAATTCAGCAAAGCCCATGCCTCTTGACCCATGAGGAATTTCAAAAGGCTGGCTAATGCATTATTGATTGTACTTTTAAAATCAGTTCTAGGAAGTGGGCAGTCCTTGAGATGAGGTGGAGAGTACAGCGCCGAAGTCAGGTCACATTATGTCCCCTTTTCTGCTCTACTGGTCTTGTTAATCTAGTGCTATCAGGTCATGAGGAACACAGCCTTGATGGGAAAAGGAGTTCCTAAAAGGACTGTGGCCTGAGGATGGTGCAAAGAAGTGAGAACTGAGCTTTGTGGGTAGGAATAAGGTGCACTTAAAAAATGTTTTTTTAATTTATTGATTTCAGAGAGAGAGAGAGAGAGAGAAAGAGAGAGAGAGAGATTGATTTTGTTGTTACACTTATGCATTCATTGGTTGCTTCTTGTATGTGCCCTGACTGGAGATTGGACCCGCAATCTACTGGCCAGGGCTTAAGGTGCACTTTTATAGCATGTTCCTATGTAAAGATGTAAGACTCAGGTCTAATTAGCCAGCAGAAGCAACTTCTGCATCACCCCAGGGCTGCTTCCTTGAATTAAAATTCATCTTTCAACAAGAGCAGAGGAAAAGGTGAAGGGCAGATGACCCAGGTCAATTTATCTGACCCGCATAGCAATGATCCCAAAGTCACCTTTGTACCCTAATTTATCAGTGTTTATTTTAAAAGCATTCTTGTAAGCCTAAGCAGGAACTTCCTCTTACCGCTCCCAACACCAATCTGATCTTGTTATGTCACCACCCTCCGGGCGGCCACAAGTTATAGTAGTGAGAAGCAGTGACCAACTCCCTAAGACCTGGCAAGACCTGCCTTTCTTTGGTGGCAATGCCTGGTCTATTTACACAACCAACCCCAAGAAGAAAGAAGGCCAAGAGAGAACATGTGTGCGCTTTATGCACTTTATATGCACAGTGAATTCATGCACTTTCAAGTTTGGCCAAATGAATATTTTGAGCCTTATCAATCTGCTAGCAATTCCTCTTTCTTGGGGTAAGAAGAAAAGGGTTGGACCAAAGTAGGGAGAGTAGCAGATGTGTTTTCTCTTCTATATCTGGATTAAGTTTAAAAAGAGATGTTTTCAAGTAGAAATGCTAGCACTCAGTTTAAGCAACAAAAATCTGAAGATAGGGATTTTTTTTTTTTCTAGATCTGGGAAGGCGCCGTGTAGATCTAAGTAGCATATCTGGTGATACGATGTCAGTAGTGTTATGATTTAACTAGGGTCTTTTTCCAATCTAATGGCTAAGATTCTAGGAGATGCTAGACCACCTCAGAAAGAGGTTGAGATCACTGGCTGAGACCCTCCACTCCCCAACCAAGATAATATCTCAGAAATATAGATGAAAAACACATTGTGAGATTTTTTTTCCTCCTATCTTCATATTTCCCAGTGCTTACTATGGGAGGTTTTAGTGGTAATTGGTGTAGTATTGAACTTTGAGGTTATAAGGAAATATGGAACATTTTTAACCTTTGAACCTTTGCTAGAATGTTTGCCTTTGAGCCACGCCTGACCATATCATTACTTATTCCCATGATTCCAGTAGAAGGTTTGTACCCAGAAAAATCCTGGTATGTAGGCCACATAATTTGGGGCAATAATTATTTTTTCTGTTATATACAAGGAGAGATTTCCAAGGAACCTGAAGAATCAAAGAAGTAGACTTCATTACCCTGGTTTTAGAAGTCAAAGGCTCAGGTGGTGTTCTAGATGGACTAATTAAAAATGAGAAGATGAAATCAGGATTCTGACACCAGAGTTATGGCGGGTATTAGTATTTACACATATCTAAAGCTCAAAATATAGAGGCTGAATTAGAACTGAGGATCGAAACCTCTTGTTTACCCTTATGGAGGTCTGCCTCTAATGAGAAAATTGACTTTAGGCATTCTGTTTCAATGGCAATTACTTTTTTATTGTATAATACAAAGTTGGCATTTGATTTTTAATGCTTCAGTCTCCTGGGTTGGTTACTATGAGTGCACCCTTGGGAGATGGCAGTGCCAGTTACTTAGCTTTTGTGATTTCACTCCAAATTTACCCTTCTCTATTCTGCTCTGTGGTGATATAGCTGAGACTTTCCAAACTACATTTCCCAGAATTCTTTGTCTGTTAGGTTTAGTGGGTAGCAACCCGCCCCCCCCCACCCCCCCAGGGAAGTGAGGAGGAAGGGATTTTTATTCTTTTTTCTTGTTATTCCTGTTAGTAAGGTACATAGCATTTTGTTCTGGGCTCCAGCTTCTTTTGGTATTTTGCTCATTTGTCTCCTCAGAGGTACCTGGAGCAGCCAGGTCTCCCTCCTCTGAGCTTCTAGTCTCTGATGATCTAAACTCTTCTTTGAATGCCCCTGGCCTAAGGGGTGATAGCTGCACTTGTTATTTCTGGGTTATCTCTCAGTGTTTCTATTTTGCTCCTTCAGCTCGCCTGTACCTGTGTAACTAATTCCTTACATTTAATTTCCTCTTGAAATATTTACTTTGGTGCCTGTTTTCTTGACTAGATCCTAATCCGTAGTAATAGGAGTAATCCCAGGAAACATATCCTAAAAGATAGAAGTCTAGAATTAGTTCAATTGTGCTCTTGACCTTGAATACTTTGCTTAACTTCCTGGCAATAAAATATGAGTTACTAATAATCCATGCCATACATTGGTATCATGATTAATTAAATGATCTCTGGTGGCTGATTGTGATGAAGTGTTTGCTGAAGCATAGGCCTTGAAGACCAAGTGGCTGTCATACATATCTTTTTCGGTAATGATGAAAACTGCAGAAACTAGAAGGCAGAGTAACTTCTTTGATTGCACTGGTGAGCTTACTGAGAAAAAAAAATGACAAATTCAGGCCTTTAAATGCCCAACTAAAGACACTGCTGCAGAATTAGTTTCTAAGCATTCCTAAAAGAATCTCTTATTTTCTGTAGTCTGACTTTGCTGCAGATCCATCCAGAATTTAATTGTGTGGATGCAGAATTACAATATAAGTTGGATCTATAACTTGCCAATCTCGTATGTGAAAGTGAGGACATTGATTGAGAAGAAGTGAGACCCAGAAGGGAGTGTTTGTGTGAACTCAGACAAAACTGAGACTTGAACCCCTGAGTTCTTCTGAGCCCCCTTGGCCAGTTAAATGAAATCTTATGCTCTGTCTGTGGAGATGGGCTTTCCCTTGCTCCAAGAATTTTGATTGCACTGGTGAGCTTACTGAGAAAAATGATAAATTCAGGCCTTTAAGTTGCCTTAAAAAGGGATGCATAGCCTTTCAAGCACTACCTCTCATGGCCTCTATAACTCGAGTCAGAACAAGTACAAAATATGACTCAAGAGGGTATAGATATGCTCAAAAGAGATGAAAAATTTTGCTATTATATGTTAGCAAAGACCTGGTGAATTTATGTGGGAATGTATTTTCTGGTTGTTAGATTAAGGTAGATGAAATATAATAACATTGGATCAGGCTAAATTTATTGATATGAATTCACTGAGAGTCTGAACTTAATATATTAGCTCAAGCAGCTGGAAGTGGCTGTAACAGTTTGCTTGGTTGATTTAAACTTAGACTCAATGGTTGTTTACATTCAATGAGGTTGAGATGCCAGAACTTGGGCATATGTGGAGGAAGGAATTCAAAGGTTTCGGGTGGTGGGAACTTTGGAGTGGATTAATCATATAGTCTCACGTTGCCCCACCCCCTCCACTATAATACTAGAGCGGGCCTAGCTATTACTCCCTTCACTAAGGCAATAAGAAATATATTAGTGAGAGGGGCTCTAGCATTCCACCCCCCCCCCCAAAAAAAAAAGCTGTGTGGCTGTGGTGGCAGATATCTGGAGATTAGGGACAATGGAATCAGAATGTTTTGGCTCACTTTACACAGGAAGATACTTAGTCTCCCCTACCCCAAATTTAAGTTTGTTGGAACCAGAGGTAGAACTAGAACCCATATCTCTTGACTTCTGGTGTGAGACTCCTTCATTAAACCTCATTTAGGCCAAAAGCCATCAGATTGTTTTGGTGTGCACATCAAAACTTAAGGCCAGATTTATTCATGCAAACGTGTTCTTTCTCTCTCTCTCTCCCCCTCCCTCCCTCTCTCTCTCTCATGACTCATGGGTAGAAAATTATGAGACAATCCTATAAAATTGAAAACGATTACAATAACTGCCGCATGCATGTGTATGATCCTTTCAAGTTACAAAGCCTAAAGTGTTAGTAAATTACCATGTGGCCCTTTATGGAAAAAGTTTGCCCACTCCTGCTTTAAAATTAAAGCACTCCAGATAAAGCTTAAATTCCTGGTGATCACCCTCTTTTGTCAGTGTAAACTTAACAATATTGTATTTTCATGTTTGTAGATTCTTTGTAGACTTAAATAATCTATGGTTTCTCTGGTTGGAAAGATGGGTGAATTTTCCAGAAGACGGAGAATTTTTACAGGTCACTGATACAATGCAAAGTTGCCTCCTGATAATTAACAGGTAACTATCTTTTCAATTGTTAACATTCACTATATTAAAAAAAAAAACACCTCTTGCCCTGACCGGTTTGGCTTAGTGGATAGAGCATCAGCCTTCGGACTCAAGGGTCCCAGGTTCGATTCCGGACAAGGGCATGTACCTTGGTTGCGGGCACATCCCCAGTAGGAGATGTGCAGGAGGCAGCTGATCGATGTTTCTCTCTCATCGATGTTTCTAACTCTCTATCCCTCTCCCTTCTTCTCTGTAAAAAAATCAATAAAATATATATATTAAAAAAAACCTCTTTCCTCAGTAATTTTTAAGTTTTATTAATTTGTCAAATTGAAATGTGATACACATATATTATGTAGACTGGGAAAAATATAAAAAAGTAGAACGAAAAAACTCTCTAGACTAGACCAATTACCTAAAGACAAACATTGTTAACAATTTGTTTTTTTTCTTAGCATTAATTTCATTGAAAAATGCTAAATAAGTACAAAGAAAAAATTGATGCATGCATTTCTTTTTCCCTTTCTTAAAAAAAGAGTTTATTTGAACTAGACGACATATGCAGGGGCGAGATCTCAAAATCTCCCTGATGTATTCATTATTTTCAGATTGTTTCTAGTTTAGCCTCAAATGTAATATTTATAGACTATTTAGTCAATAAATAATTAGGTGTCACCTGCCTCTATTTTTCTTATGAGATGTAGGATTGAATGTGTTTTCCAAATGTCAAGAAACATATCTAGGACAGGCCATTATTTCCTAAATTACCAACGTCATTCTGGAGATGGAGTGGTTAGAGATGATTGGTTTTTTTTTATTATCCTGCCAGCTTGAATACTTACTGCAGTGTGCCTTTCTCGCCATTCACATTTTAAAATCTCCCAGGGAAAGAGAAACATAGAAAGCCGCTAGGAGACTTCTCCATTCTGTGCCTGTCTTCCCTGTGGAACTCGGCCATGGCTTCTACATCCCATTTGTCCTCTGGAGAGCCTCGTGTTGGAATGTGTCCTGCTGGAGGAACAAGTGCCAGTGTGTCCATCTGAAGACCTATTTCCAACCCCTCTCCTCGTGATTAAACAAATATACTGATGTTTTCAGCCTTGTTTCCCTCCCCTAAGATTATGTTCAAAAAGAAACCTTCAATGAACACTGTATTAGTTTCTTATTCCTGCTGAAACAAATTACCTCAAATTTCATGGCTTAAAACAACAGAGATCTATTATCTCTCATGCTTCTGAAGGTCAAAAGTTCAAAATGGTTCTCACTAGACTAAAGTCAAGGTGTTGGCAGGGTTGTGTTCTTTCCTGGAGGTTGTGGGGACATCTGTTTTCTTGCCTTTCCCAGTTTCTTGGGGTCTCCTACCTCCCCCATCCATCTTGAAAGCCAGCAATGGCCTGTCTAGTCTTTCTTACATTGAATCCCTTTGACACTGACATGCCTGCCTCTCCCACATTTAAGGCCCCTCATGATTACATTGGGCCCACCCTGCATAATCCAGGATAGTCTCCCAGGTCAAAATTCTTGACTTAATCACAGCTGCTAAATCCCTTTTGGCACGTGACGTAACATGTTCACAGGTATGGGGATTAGGACGTAGGCCTCCTTCTGGTGGGGTACATTATTCTGTTTACCACAATTACTTTAACTCAAAAGAGTGGATAATGTTTGAAATGGGACAGAATCATGAGGGAGATACTGTTTTCCTTTTGCTAGTTCTCAATCATGCTAGTTTTACTACTTCAGCTGTTCTAGTATAAAATACCTGTCAGGAGTAAAATTGCTATTCTTACATGCCTTTTTTTAGGGCTGGCTCAAGATAAAATTGTGAAGCAATTTGTTTGGTCTGTCAATTTTTTCTTTTCTCTCCAGTTCTATTTCTTCTTCCCTAGAACTCTGCTCTCTTCTCTTACTCCAATTTTAGAGTAATCCTGATAAGGCATTTTAAAATAGGAGCTAAGTAAATAATCTTTCTGAGGATATTTTCACGTTATCAAAAGTTTTCTTTAAGTTAAAAGATTTAGACACATGTTTCAAAATGATCATAATAGACTGATAGAAAATTGTATTAAAATATATATTAATCCTCACCAAAAAATGTTTTTATTGATTTTTTTAGAGAGAGAGGAAGGGAAAGGGAAAGAGAGAGAAAGAGAAATGTCTGTGTGACAGTTGAGAGTGAGAGGGAAACATCAGTTGGTTGCCTCTTGTATGCACCACCCCGACGAGGGATCAAACCTGCAACCTGGGTGTGTGCCCTGACTGGGAATTGAACCCTCAACCCTTCCATATATGGGATGACGCTCCAACCAACTGAGCCACACCAGGGGCTGTATTCTAATATTTATTCATTACATGCTATGCTAGTCACTGCAGGGATTCAAAGATAAGCAAAGCTTAGTTATCATTCTTAGTTGACAGTCTGGTCAATTTAAAATTTGTATTACTGGATCAGAAAACTTTCAAACCTCCCATGTAGGTTTTAGGCCTTTGTAGGTATATAATTATTCACAGATATTAGGGTTCAAAACCTAGAATTTTTCTTATGGAATTGCCATGAACCTATCTTTACCCATGGTTGCAAATTTATTAATACAGTGTGCCAATGATATGTACTCTTAAAGTTTCCCATACCTTCTGATAGTAGAAGTGGGGGAGGAAGGAATGAGACATAAACTTTAAATTTGCCAGTGTTCTATATCTTCTGGCTTAAATATTCTCTTCTGAATGACTCAGATTCTTAGACTTTAAATTTATTTCTCCTCCTCTATACCTTTCCAAAATAGTATCTGGGTGTATTTAATGATGAGGCTTATGGGACCACATGATTGTAGGAGGATATTCAGGAGCTTCTGGATTTTAGCTGGTTTCTGCTGTGGAATAAACATTTTGGTTTTCTTCTCAGACTAGTGTCCACTAAAATGCCTGTGTGGTCATTTGGACACTATATGGGCATATGCCCTGGTCCCATACATATATTTCTAGAGGTGACACCTCCACATATTGAGGCCTCACATCTCAACTCCAGGTTCTTCAGCTCTCTCAGAGCCTCATGCGCCTTTATCAAGGCATGTGGGAACCTCTGGGTCCCTTGTGTCCCTTGTGCAGGCCACAGGAGGCCAGGACTGCTGCTTCAGGCTCATCTGTCCTTCACCAATGCAGCATTATAGCTTCTGCATCATGCTGGATGTGGCACTCCATCTGGGCTCATAAAGTCTTCCAAGCTGTGCTTGGGTGTTGCAGATAGGATTGGCAGGAGACCTATTGTAAGAAGGAGATTTGCATACAAAAGTTTATTGAGAAGGGTTCCCAGAATCTACACCTTTGGAGGAACGATGAAAGCGGGATTGAACTGTGATGGGATGCAGCAAAGGCTCTGCAAATCCTATAGAGAAGCTCTGAAGCTGGAATGAATAAAAAGGTTATCCTGAATTAAGGCAAAGGTGCTGGGTGTGTATAACTCAGTCATTGAGTGAGAATTGTCCCGCCTCCCATCCCTCAGGGGGAATTCCCTTGGGCAAGGAAATTCTCTTTAGCTGGGAGCAGTTTCCTGAGAAATATTTAGCTGTGAACTGTCAGATATCAACACATCCATCAACTGGGGAAATACGTGCTTTAGTCTTAAAGGAGGGAGGAAGGGGGACCTCACACCGCAGCATCCACTATCCTGGGGAAGCATACCATAGCCTCTCCTGACTCCCAGTTGGCATTCTTGGGATCCCCCTTACCCATCTGGATATTCCTAGTGGGTCTAATGGGGATGTAGCTGACTCTGTGTAGGCATTCCAGCCTGAGAAGGGAAGAGGGGGCATAGTTATTTGATCTTATTTCTGTATTTCCTTGTCATTTCTGTTTCCCACACTCACCCTGCATAGTAATGTGTGGGCTCTCCTGTCCTCCTCCTCTCTGGAGTGGACTTTTACATCATGTTGTCAAGGACTATCAAGGGTCTGAGATTTTACCCTGCTTTCAGGCTAACAGGTTAACCTGCCGCAATTTTAAGAATGCTGGCAGAAGACGAGACTCCTGAGTCAGAGGCCTAGCCTTTATTACTCATGGCACTGCACGCAGCATGAGCTTTGTATTAGTGCCCATTTTCCATTTTCCCCAGATTTCTTCAGTGGGCGCCATCCATTTGGCCAGCTGACTAGCAGAGTGCTGAGGACCATGTGGAATGTATTAGAGGTCAGGTCAGAAGGTGTGATATATCACCACCCATCTGTAGTTGGCCAAAACTTGTTCATGACCTGGGGAAAGGTAACCTTCCTATTTTCTCTGTCATATTCTTTAATAAGAATTTGCAAGAGGACCTGAAAAGACACTTATCCAAAGAGAACATACAGATGGCCAATAGACAGATGAAAAGATGCTCAACCTCACTAATCATCAGAGAAATGCAATTTAAAACCACAATAAGATATCACTTCACACCTATCAGAATAGCTATCATCAATAAGTCAACAAAACCACAAGTGTTGGCAAAGATGTGAAAAAAGAAACTCTCATGCACTGTTGAGGGCAATGCAGATGGGTGCAGTCACTGTGGAAAACAATATGGAGGTTTCTAAAAAAATTAAAAATGGAACTGCCTAATGACCCAGCGATTCTACTTCTGGGAATATATCCAAAGAAACCCAAAACATTAATTCAAAAGAACATATGTTCCCCTATGTTCATTGCAGTGTTATTTATAATCACCAAGCTATGAAGGCAACCCAAGGGCCCCACAATAGACAAGTAGATAAAGAAGATGTGGTACACATATATAATGGAATATTATTTGGCCATAAAAAAGAACAAAATCTTACCATTTGTGACAGCATGGATGGACCTAGACGGTATTATGCTCAGTGAAATAAGTCAATCAGAGAAAGACAAATACTTTATGATTTCATTTATATGTGGAATCTAAAGAGCAGTGTAAATGAACAGACAAAATAGAAACACTCATAGATATAGAGAACAGACTGATGGTTGCCAGAGGGGAGGAGGGTTGAGCGCAAAAGGTGAAGGGATTAAGAAGTACAAATGGGTAGTTACAAAATAGTTACAGGGATGTAAAGTACAGCATAGGGAATATAGTCAATAATATTGTAATAATTATGTATGGTGCCATGTGGGTACTTAAAATATCAGGGGATCACTTTATAAAGTAGACCAGAAGCCCAGTGCATGAATTCGTGCATGGGTGGGGTCTGGCTGGCCTACCCCAATGGGGGCCCATTGGGCTGGGCCTGGGGGGGAAGGGCCATGGGCGGTTGGCCTGCTGGCCCTGCCCGCAATCAGGGTGTTGGGGCTGATCAGGGGCTGGGCCGGCCAGGGGGGTGGGGACGATGGGGGCCCGGATCAGGCTGGTTGGCTGCCGCAGTGTGTTATAGCCACCGGTTGTTCTGGTCATTCTGCTGTTCCTGTTGCCAGGCTTTTATATATATAGATTGTTGACAAGCATTTGGTTGTCTCCTGATTTTTGCTGTAACAAACAAATGCTGGTATGAACATTCTTTTACAAGTACCCTGGTGCACATATGCAAGTGTTTCTGCAGGAGACATATTCTTGGGAGTATAATTGCTGGGTTATAGGGTAAGTGTATCAATTTTATTAGGTAATGTCATAGTGTTTTTCCAGAGTGAATGTTGTACCAATTTATATTTCCAATAGCCACGTAAAAGTTTTCATTTACTCCATAACCACACTTTATACTTCTTATTGTCACTTTTTAACTCTTGCCCATCTGATAGCTCAGTGTACTTTTACAATTTGTATATCCCTTAGTACTAAGGAGATTAAACATAATTTCTATGTTCTTGGTCATTCATGTTTCCACTTCTGTTGTTTTCCAGTTCCTTTGCACATTTTCCATTGGGTTATATATCTTTTTTATTATTGATTTGGACAAGTGGTTTTTAAAAAATATATATTTTGGATACTAATCATTTGACAGTAGTTTGTGATACAAATCTTTTCTTTCAGTTTATGATTTATCTTTTCATATTTAAAATTGATTTGTTTTATAAACATAAGGATTAAATGTTAATGCAGTTAAATACATCATGTTTTCTTAAATAGTTTTAACTTATTGTGTCTTAGTTAAGAAACCCTTTCTACCCTAAGGTGATAGTCTCTTATCTCTTCAAAAGTATTTCTTTTTTAAAAATACATGGTTTTCTTAATATATACGGTGTGTTTTAGGAATATAATTTTTTCCATATGGTTGTTAACCAGTTAGAATCCATACACTCTCCACCAAATTGGGGTGCTACCTTTGTCATATATCAAGTGTTGTGACTTGTGTAATCAAAAAGCCACTCTCCATTCTTTGATCAGATTCAACATTTTATTATATGGTTATGATTAAATGTGCTTTTATTGAAAAACAAAGTGTTGTTAAGGCAGATTAATCTAGACCTGGTAATCAGGAAGCAGAAAGGGTGTAAAAGAGAACTTTGAGCCTGGCTGGTGTGGCTCAGTGGTTGAGCCTTGACCTATAACTAGGAGGTCACAGTTTGATTCCAGGTCAGGGCATGTGCCCTGGTTGCAGGCTAGTCCCAAGTAGGGAGCATGCAAGAGGCAGTCTATCAATGATTCTCTCATCATTGATGTTTCTATCTCTCTCTCCCTCT